TCAAAATGGGGTTTATTTTTTCCCTCTTCCAGTTGGTGGGAACTTCACCAGGCTGCCAGGAGTTCTCAAACATGATGGCGAGTGGCCTGGCCACTACATCCGCCACTTCCCTCAAGACCCATGGATGCAACTCATCAGGTCCCATGGACTTATGCACCTTCAGGTTCCTTAGATATTCTTGAACCTGATCTTCTCCTACAGAAGAGGGAAGTTATTGAAAAAACACCTGAAGGACAAACACAGTCAATGGTCACAGCCAACACGGGTTCGTGAGAGGAAGGGCCTGTTTAATAAACTTAGCTTCCTTTTATGACAAGATCACCCATCTAGTTGACCAAGGGAAGCCAGATGATGTCTTTCTTTTTTTTTTTTTTTTTTAATCTTTAAGCTTTCAATACTCTCACAGTATCCTTCTGGACAAAGTGTCCTGCATACAGCTTGACAAAAACATAGCACAATGGGTGAGCAACTGGCTGATGGGTGGGGCCCCGGACTTGTGCACCTTGATTTTTTTTTTTTTTTTTAAATCTCCTGGTTTTGAGTTACACAATCTGGGTTTTTTTTCTGTAACCAGCAGGTTTCAACTTTCATTTTGAGTTAAAACAAGTGGCAAACTTCTCATGTGATGGAGCCCGTGTTGTGAGAAACAGGCCAAATCTTCTGGCTCTTCATATGCAAAGGAGAAATGAAAGAGCTGCCACTCTGAGCAACAAATTTTCAGGTTTACAAAACCCAAATTCTTTTGCACACATACATTGCAAAGGTGCAAGTCTCCCATCTGACCTGGCATGGCACCTCCACGTTCTAAATCATGGTATTTTCATGCAAATTTTTTTGAGATATATACAGCTTTCACCATGTAGGCCTATTTTTTTCTTGCTTCATTAGAGACAGCCACTTTCAATTGGGGTGGTTTGCGGTGGGAATGGCACATGGAACCATTTAGCAGCATTAGCCTGAGGCATTATGATTTTTGGTTTTGAGTCCCATACATCTTCTCTGGGATGTGTTTTTTATTAGAGCAGAAATATGATCACAAAGCTAGGTATAAAATTATATGGGATATAATTTTGTAACCCAGCCATGCTATTACTGTGAGTGTTAAAATGACTTCTTTCTTAACACTTCACGTAGAGCACAAAGGAGAGTTAAATGTTTTGGCCCAGCCAATTATGTCATGGTGGCAAACATCCTTTCGGAACTTCAGATCTTGGTCTGAAGCAGAGGAGTTTTCTTAAATGTGTTTGAAAAGATGGCTCCTTATCTGAAGAAGAGTTTACCTTGATAAAATGAGACGGCTTTGGGCGCAGAGTTGGGGCAGCTGAAGGTGCTCACCCTGCCCGCAGGATCAATAAGAACTATAAGAGCTGATGGCTCAGGCCTTGGGACGTGAATTCAGGCTAAGACATGGAAACTGCTATCTCCATTTTAGGCCAAACATGCGGTGACAACTAGGGAATCAAATGTGTGTATTTCTTCTTCTAAGGCTAATTTGTTTGCCTGGGCAACAGAAGCAGTTTTTCTGAAATGGACTGAAAATTATTCCTGCATTTTTTCTGTGTTTTAAGACTTGCAAATTGTGCAGTGATTAAACAAAATTATCCATTGATTGGATAGGAAGTGCAGGTTTCTCTCCACCAGATTTACACTCTTGTCCTGCTCTTATAATCAAGGAAGTAAGAGGAACTTAGAAGTACGTAAGATTTCTGGATTTATAAAAGCATTTGTATTATCGTATGAGGCATATAACTAAGTACCGTAACAGACTGTATGTAAGATGACATAGACATCATCACTGAGTATCAGACTTCTCTGTCCTCCTTTCCAGAATGATGAAGTCCTCTGTACATACAGAAGAAGATGACTTTGTGCCAGAGCTTCAGAGAAGCATCCATCCCAGAGAGAGGCCAGACTGGGAGGAGACTCTCAGCGCTATGGTAAAACACCTTGTTGCATTTTCTATATGCATTATTTTCGGTTCTGAACAGTCTGCTTTTACATTCTAATTACGCATTGATTTATATTCCCTGAGTTTCAGATTTTTATATGGATTGCATTGTACTTTCAACAAGACCAAAAGACTTTCCTTCCTCTGGCAGTTTGTCAACGAGAGAGAGAAGGAGCATGAATAACGCTTCTGCCCTATTAATACGTGCCCCAAAGCGGGTCTAGTAACCAATTAAAAGGTCCATAATGTCACAACGATTTTCAGCCTGCATTAACCTCTTTTTCAGCAAGACTTTTGAGCATGAAGGGAACTTCTTGTAAAAACGCGCTCTTTGCAGCATGCAGCATTGTGGAAGAATAAGACTTTAGCAAAATGCTGGCTAAGTCTACAGAAATAAAATCTCAGCCTGAAACTACCATCAGAGGGAACAGAATTACAGAAAAGCAACCACAAAGGTGCTGTTCTCGTGCTTACAGAAGGCACTACAAGTGGGCAGTGGGCCACGGACAACTCTATTACCTAGATATATTTGTTTTCTTTTTAAAGGAGTGAGTAAAGTATCTGCAGTTCCACTTTCCCAACTCCCCCTAGCATTTGCTGAGTTTAGAAGATCAGATGATGTTTTATTAGCAGCCAAGCAGAGCAATCTGATCAGGTCGTTTTGTGAAGTTACCTTACCTCACAGATGCTTGACCTGCCATGTTTCCGTATAGGAGTGTCTGGAAGTTGTATCTTGCTTGTTGTTTTTCGATTTTCTAAATTGCCTTATTTAGCTGAAGAGGCAATTGCCTTCTGCGACAGCCCTTGGATAGGGGGAAAGTCTGAATATTCCAGGAGAGCAGTGGTGCTCCAGGGGCAGCCAGTCCAGCAGCATGGCTAAGATTACTTACTGCAATGTAGCACCAGTGACAGTTTTTCCCTCTCATTGGATCATGTGGCAGTGACAGGGCTTCAGCCTGGAAAAGCCAATATGTTCTCTGCTCCTGGACTGCCCGCAGTGCAGCAGCGACATGAGAGATGGGCTACATTTAGCAGGACAGATTCCTCTGATGTATGGGGCTGAGGGGAATTCATCCCAGTGGATTACTTGAAGTTTAAAACACCGTTAATATCTGGCTGGATCACACAAATTAGATTTTGGATTAACTGTTCTTTATACAGCTTTCAGAAAATGTGTAGGTAATGACATACCTGGCTCGTAGGGAGTTTTTTAATTTTAAACGGGAACAAAGATAGGTACTGTGGTTTTTTTTAAAAGCATCACCAAACCTCATATAATACAATGATACTACTTTGTTCCAAACTTGATTTTCAAGCCAAAAAAAACCAATCCAAAACTAAGGCTTCACCTACATTTTTGTCTGCTGGTATTTTCTGTGCTTGTTGCTCCGCTTGGCTCCTTGCTTACCCACTGTTACTTTTGCCTTTTTTTGAATTGTTGCTTTCTAAGTATATTTTTTTTCTCATATGCAGATATTTTTTCCTTCTCTCCACCTTGGCCAGCAGTTGACACTGGTGCTGCCTGTTTGAGAGCACTGTCTGTTCTAATCAGCATTATTCAGACAGCAGTGCGTGCTCCCAGCCTCAGCGCACGGTGCTTTTGAGCACCCTAGAGCCCGGAGCTTTGTGTAAATCACTCTGACACCGCGCTGTCTGTAACCTCAAGGTGTGTCTCAGGAATGTGAGTCTGTAATTCAGTGTCTCCACCTGTAACACAAGTTAGCTGGCATACCTCATTTGTTGGGGTTTTTTTTCCATTGTTGATTTACAGTGAAGGAAAGGTTCACCTGTTCTGGCTCGATACTTTCCCTGTTCTCATCAAGGCTGTTGTGCTCATGGACATATACTGCAATCTACCTGTATGCATAATGTTCCCCCAACTGTGCTAATTATTAATTCACTTTTGAGAACATGTCCCCTTGTGCAGCAGTGTAAAAACTGAACGGTCCAGGTGGCTATAAAAAAGAGTTTTAGAGGACGATAAACAAGAAAATGCACATCTAACATTTGCTGCACAATGATTTGGTACGACGAAGCACAGGGCTACATGTAAAGCTACTGAGCCTGTATTTATAATGGCTTGGATTTGTGCTTACAGCGTTGGTTTGACCTCGTGGTCCTCTGAATACATTGTAGATGGGTAGAAAAGCTCACTTGCTCATGTTTACTGGGTTGAGTGAATCAAATTTCCACTTTCAACCTCTGCCTTATGTCCAGTCAGAAGGTAAGATGTAAATATTTACAGGACAGTAAACTGAATTCAACAGTGTCACTTTCTAGTCTCTATTTAACCAGCACATCTACTGCATTCTGTGTTTTTCCTCATCATCTAAAGCCTGAGATTTTTTTTTTCCTTGCTTTTTTCCTTTGTTTTGCATTTTAGCAGCCTCTAGCTTAGCCTTTTCCCAGAGCATGCTCCTTACATGGTTATGTGCGTTTCTCATAGTGGCATAAGACATTTAATTTTCGGCTAGTAGTTGTTTAAGTTGCAGGCTTCAGGTTTTGTTGCTTGCTATTTCAACCTCTGAGGAATGGAGGCTGTGGGGGCTTGGAGAAGTTGGACGAGGCTGCGTTGTTTCCTACTCTCTGTTGCTTCTCGTGGTCAGCAGCTGGAGACCCAACTGGGTGCAAGGCTTTGTCATTTTAAATGAATTTCACCTTCTGCCAGGTGAGCAAACAGCAACACTGTGGAGAGCTTGGGAAATTGTGACGCAGTCAACAGACCAGTGATGCTTATTCGTTTGGCTCTTGAACTTTGTCTTTGTACGTGTTTTTGTACTTTGGGGAAAGGTGATGTTATGTGTTCAAAGTTACATGAACATTCACAAGTCATCCTTACTCTCTCTCCCACCTTTTTATCCACCATGTATTTCAAAGTGCTTATTGTTAATTTAGATAAGTGCTTTGTTTCCAGAGCTTTTTCTTAACAAGAAATAAACTAAAGGTCTTTCTGAATGTATGGAGGTTGAATGTCCTCCTATACTGCAAATATAAGGTAGGACAGAAACTCTACTTTTAATATTTCTGTCATCGCCAGTTTATTCTGGGCACCTGAGTAGCTTCAGTTCTTTGTTTGATACTACTTTTATCATCTTTTTTATGTTTATTATTTGTGGTTTCACCTACTTGTTTCTTGCTTGTGGTTTAGCAGAAAGGCAAGTGACTATATATACTGGAGACCTGGTTTGGTTGGGGACTTCTGGTGGTTCTTGAACCTTCATGGTAGTTCTCACATCCTGTGCTGTACATCTTGAGACCCAGACTGAATGAAATGCAGCACTAGATAGACAGACTTTACAGGAGTTAGGTAATAAGACAGCTCCCTCAAGGACTGCTGTATTTTGTATCTCCCCCCCCAAATGTTCTGTATTTTTAGAATTTGGTGATATTATATATGCAGTTTTTTTCACTGTCCCAGCCTCCTATTCCCACCGCGCTGCTGGGTAACCTTCACACAGGCTGGTTTTTTTCTTCCTCTGCTCTAGTTCGGCAAATGCAGTTGATGAGATTGACTTTCTTTGTAGAACACTTCTGAGTTCTAGGGATGAAAAGCCGTGTTTGAGCCGAGTAATATTGCAGTATATAGATTTTTAAGATTTCTCTGAGATAGTAATATTATTTTAAAGGAAAGGAGTGTCTTTTCCTTGTAAGGTCCTGAAGAGTGCTCTATTTCTATGTTACAAGAAATGAAGTTGTGAAAGAGAGCCTTTATATCATATTTCTCATATGACCCTACAAAGCAGCTGTCCCCAGCCTGTCATTAACTTTACCATAAATTGATATTTATACTTTAATATTACATTTACCTTATGTTATTGGCCATCTGACTTGCTCTCAGCACGTCTTTAGGAGATTGCAGTGTTTTAAAAGCAGGGTGCTGACAGCCTCTTCCACACCAGCAGGCTGGTGTGCTTACCCCTGTTGCCTTTTGTTTCCATTTGTCTAATTTTTGTGGGGAAGCAGAATTAAAACAGTGAGATAAATATAAAAAACTTTATTTAGGCACCCTGTTGAAATTGTGCTGCCATGGAAAGATACTACCTGAAGCTGCATTAACCTGACAGGCACTGAAGATAAAGCGAATATACTCAATCCAAAGCTAGAAATAGGATTTCTTTTGTGTGAGAGTATGTGTGTGTGTGTATATGTGTTTCTGAAAAGGTCTTTTTTTCTGCAGTGTCTGCTGCTTCTTTCAGCTCTGCAAGCTTTCAAAATATGAGCCCCTATAGCTGTGGTAGGTTTATTTACTGTTAGATTTTTATTTTTTTTTTCCTGTAGTGCTCTGAGCACAAGAATACAGGTAGTCATCCTGAGACCTGGTCCCCTCCTACAGTGAATGTCTGCAAGGATTCATTCGTGAGTAGATCACGGCTGGATGTGAGCAAGAGTTCTTCACCTTGAGGAAATCAGCCTTTCCCACCCCGGTGCACCTTGGAACAGTAGCTTTTAGGATCAGCTCCTTTTCAGCTTGTGCTGGTGCAATTTTCTTAGGAAAAATAGAAGCCTACAAATGTTTTAGGTACAGGGGTTAGACCCTGTCCTATGAAGTCCCCGGAATAATCTTAGTTCTTACATCAGGTCAGATGAATTCTGAGATCTGTAGTATTTTCAATGTTTGATACTAGATAAGGTAACGTACCATGGCTTGTGAAGGTAATGTGAAGGTAATAAAGGCTTTTTAATGAGACCTCAATATATCACTCTGTTAAATCTGGGACATGAGTGAGGAGAAAACTATTTTTAAATGCAATTTATAAATGTGTGTAGAAATTAGTGCATTGTGAAGGGTTAAAGGAAGATTTCACTCTCCTTAGTGCCCGGTTTGTTTCTCATTCTTTGTACAGCACTTAGCCCAGTGCTGCCCCAGATCTTGCAGCTTCCGCAAGAATAGATGCAAAAACCATAGGACTGCATAGGGCTTCTTTTAAAATTATTTTTGTTTGGTTAGTTTTTAATTCAAAAAACATCAGGCATGTTTCTGAGTGTGTC